AAAAAAAAGTTCTTTGGTATCTTTTGTTGACTAAATCGTTGAAGAAAAGGAGAGACAATGAACTTGCTAAAAAATGGAAGGGCAAAGTTTGTCCTTGGCTAAAGTAAAACTTGACCTTGCATAAAAATGGAAGAGGGAGAAGAAGCGAGAGGAAGATGGGATGGCTGCGTTTCTTTTTTTGAGAAGATGGCAAAATACCTAGCTGATGTAGTCTTTGTGGAATAAGTCTTGGGCTAAAAATTATTTGGATGTATCTAATGGGCTGATTGCAGGTTGGTGGTGAATTGGGCTATATGAGGGAAAGCTCCCTTTGAGCTTCTGTCGCTCAAAAATGAGGACAACCCACTTTCTTTCCTTATACATTATTTGGACTTCAACAATCATAGAATATAAACTATCAATAAATTAAAAGCTTAGAATATGATTAAGCTAAAGCAATATTGTAACAATAAATTATATCATGTAGCTTAGTGAGAGTTTAGCTTATAAGATGATTAAAAAATAAAATTAATAAGTAATAGTACCTTTGAAAAGTAACGGATGAGTGTAAAAATACAGTTAACCTTGAATATATTTAGTACAAGTAAAGTAGTATAACAAGTATTTAACAAAATGGTCAAATATAGTTTGAATTGAAACTCCAAAGATTTTGGTAACGTAAATATTAGCAATGTTTAAAATACTTGATAAACATGGTAATTTCTCATATAGTAAAAGTTAATATTTATATAATTATGAAGCCAAAGGGAGATAATTCGAAAGAAAATGGCCAAAATTGGATGTTAATACTAATTACATTATTTTTGAGATAAAAAATAGTGAAATAATTATTCTTATATTATTAGTGATATTAGAAGCCCAAGAAAATAATTCAGAAGAAAAGAGGGACAAATATGGATGTCAACAGCTGCCCCTCTTTGACCGGAGACGATGTAAGAGTTTTCGGGCAAAGAAATTGACATAGTAACCAAATTTGTTCCGACCATCATGTACGGGTCTTTAAAACGATTGAACAGGTTTTAGGAAAGTTGGTTTCGAGTTTCCTATATATCTCGGGCTTCACAAGAATCGGCCATATGAGTTTGAGAGTTATGTGGAAAAGCATTTTTTTAGAGGTTGGGAATAGGTCACAGGGGGTTTGAAAGTGATGTAGGTATTTGTAATCTCCTAATTATAAAATATGGTCGACAACATACCTATGGGCAGGACCCTATGAGACACATTACTGTGACATAGTGCGATGGAATAATCCAATGGATTTTCAAAACCTTGTGTTTTTTTTTTTAGGCGGAGTAGAGTTAGAAAGTAGATCCTTGACCTTGCTTTTGCCCTAGTTCACTGCTAAGAGGTAGTTCCACGTTGCGCAGTTTCCTGCTAAGCTCAATAGACTAGGTAAAATTGTTAGTAAACAAGATAAAGATGCCATACGTCATCAAAAAAAATAATAAAATAAAAAATATAATTCAAAAAAAATCTCTAAGCCGTTGATTTATTGTAAAATAAGCCAGCTGTTTTTTTAAATAAATTAATAAATAAATAAATAAATAATAAATAAAAAAATAGATTAATTCTTTGATCATGATTAATGAAATGAGGCTTTGAGCCAATGATGCATGTAAATGGTGCCTTTCAGCTATGTATGATTGATAAAAATGAGGCATTTAAGCCGATGACTGATGATGAGGCATTTAAGCCGATGACTGATGATGAGGCATTTAAGCCAAATGATGAAGTAATTGAGGCGTTTAAGCCAAATGACTGATAAGGTTTTCCAAGCCAAATGACTTAAGGTAATGAAAACATTTGTGGTGCATTTGCAGGGCAATTGTGTGGTGCATGGTGCAGTGTAGTTGAAAGCATTTGCATTGTGCATTTGCAAGCGATGATCTAGTACTTTTTAAAGCATTTGTGCAGTGCCTTTGAAAGCAAAAGTGCAGTGCAGTTGAAAGCATTTATATTATGCATTTTGCAAGCAATGGTGCATTCGAAAACGATGGTGCAATGCATTTGAAAGCATTTGTGCGGTGCATTTAAAAGCGATGGTGCAATGCATTTGCGGTGCATTTGAAGGCAATGGTGCAGTGCATTTGCGGTGCATTTGAGAATAATGGTGCGGTGCATTTAAAAGTCAATGTGCAATATATTTAAAGCTATATGCGATGTAGTTTGCATTTATAAAAATTAGTAGCTGAAAAGTAATGACAATCAATGTAAAAAAAATTTTTGTAAGATTCCAACATCATCATTAGAAAAATCTCAAACTTGGATTTTAAAGATCATCAATATTCAAAAGGTGTAACTTTCTATAAAATACTATAAAGGAATTCAAACCGCTTGACGAAGGGTTATGGTATTTATATTCGTTATTGATTCTTCTGCTTCCTCTATCTTGAAAATCTGCACTCAAAGAAAAAATTGTGAGTTTGGGGGAAGGTTGATTCGTGTTGACTTTGATGCTCTGGCCGTTGATAGTCTTGCGCTTCCCACTTTGTTTGGACTTGTAGCCTCCGCCCAACACTGAATCTTGGGGAACGAATAGTTAAGAAACTTTATAATAAACAATCCTATTTTAATAAATAAAATATGCATAAATTTTATAAAATAAATTTGTTGCCGAATTCTGCATTGTGACATGCTCGTGAAACAAAGTGAACGTCCTCATTTGGAATCCCGTCATTCATCTTGCTTGACCCTCCTTTGGCGATGACTAATGCCTCCTCGTGACGACGCCTTCAAAAGCTGCCCCAGTTTCCAATTTGGGGGGAAATATTAAATTTTATTATGATGAGACCGAACCCACAGGGCTGCCTACGTATCCCCTCTTAAACGGGAATCAGGTCAAACGTAGTTCATTTACATTAAGAAGCATTACATAGAAAAGAAGAGGTTACCAGATATGCCTCTAGACGTAGTATCTCTTGACTGCATCTGCGTTGATGGGCTTGGGCCATACTTCACCATCCATTTCTGCTAAAATCAGTGCTCCTCCAGTCAATACCTGATGCACCATATACGGACCTTGCCAATTTGGTGCAAACTTTCCTTTGGCTTCATTTTGGTGCGGGAATATGCGCTTCAAAACCAATTGCCCCGGTTTGAACTGCCGTGGTTTCACTTTCTTGTTGAAGGCTCTGGCCATCCTATTTTGATAGAGTTGACCATGGCAAACTGCATTCATTCTCTTCTCGTCAATAAGCATTAGTTGTTCGTACCGATTCTTCACCCATTCTGCATTGCTCAGCTCGACTTCCTGGATGACCCTCAAAGATGGTATTTCAACTTCTGCAGGTAATACAGCTTCAGTTCCATGGACCAGAAGATAAGGCGTTGCCCCAGTTGATGTTCTGACTGTAGTTCGATATCCAAGGAGAGCAAATGGTAGCTTCTCATGCCAATGCTTGTAGTTATCAATCATCTTCCGCAATATCTTCTTTATGTTCTTGTTGGCTGCTTCAACGGCTCCATTCATCTGAGGTCGATAGGGGGTGGAATTTCGGTGAGTAATCTTGAACTTATCACATATTTCTCGCATCAAGTCACTATTGAGATTGGCTCCATTATCTGTAATGATTGACTCAGGAATTCCAGATCGGCAAACGATGTTGTTGCGGACAAAATCTGCTACCACCTTCTTATTAACTGACTTATAGGAAGAGGCTTCTACCCACTTTGTAAAACGTAATCAAATAGCTACCAGGATAAAATCTCTGCCCATTTGATGTGGCAGG